ACGTCAGCCGCGCGAAGCCCTGAGCAGCATTACTTCACCGGCTTGGACGAGAGCGGAGAGGGGGAAAATCTTTGTCCTTGCTCCTTCCCCAGCCCCCCAGTCCATCTGGCTGGAGCAGTTTTGTTGATTCAAGTGCCGTTACCTCATTTGGGGATGTTAGTTTTAGATTCCCGCCAGTGTGGGAACCAGATTAGCTCAGCTTGTCAGGTCCTGTCAACTCCAGCCAAGGAATGCAAAGTGCCGCGGAGGGCCGGCGCTGGAGCAGATGGGAGCCGCAGGGGACTGCCCCGCTCGGGAGCCTGGAAAAGCGACAAAGCTTTTTGCCTCCGAGGGTGCTAGGTGCAGACCGGCTCAGGGCAGGAGCAGTTGAACGTTGCTCTGAGATGGCTTTTCAGGACGTGTAGGAGGCAAGCCTGGAGGTTCCCAGTGGGTGGAAAGCAGCCAAAGCCACTGGCACGAACTATAGCTGCAAGGATAGGCTTGAAAAGGATAGTTGGGCTTTGGGGTGTCTCATCCCCAACTTTCACAAAGTCCTGAAGGCTCCTCATCACCGCCGTTTGGCCAAGATGGCCATCCGCCAGCATGGGGAGACCATGTTCTTGTGACCCTCATCCGCCCAGCGTCCCTTGCGGGGCGTCCACTGGCTCCTTGCCTTCCTCCTGGAGCTGCGGGTGTCGTCTGCGGCTCTCTGCTTGGGGTCCCTCGGATCCCCTCTGGGACCTGTTGCACCCATTCCCATTTTGCATTTGGTTAAGTGGTGTCATTTCTGGCTCTTCTGTTGCTTTGCAGGATGGTGTCCATCACCTGAGGCTTAAAAATAAGGCAACGTCCTCTGTCCGGACGCCATTAGGTGCTTTTTAAAGCCCTGGTGCCTCAAGGTGACCAAATATTTGCACAGCCTTTGGCCACCTCCCGACAGGCGCCTGCGCTGGGTGAGGATGATGAGGTGTATTCAGCGCAGCTGAGGCGGGGGACTTCCCTGCTCTTCCACTGACTTCTTATATGGCTCAGGTCAAGTCACTTAGGTGCCTAAATCCCCTTACGGAGCTGAGCCATAGTTTGCCCGTTCCCCATCTGTAAAATGGGGTTCCAAGTCCTTCACTCCTATGCAAGGGATGCGGTGAGGCTCAACCTATTGGCGACGTGGGTGAAGAGGCCTGTATACATCTTGTAGGACTGTGAGCAAAACTCCCAATGTCCGGGGGAAAAGTCCTGCCCTCTTGGGCCCTTTCTCTTCGAGCAAAACGTCCTGTAGCAGCAGATGCCGGGCCTCGGCACTCACCCTTCCCCATGGTTGGCGCCTGCCCCGCCTTGACGTCTTTCACTCCAGGGATGTGCTGAGCGTCTGGCTTTCTCCATTTGCAAGAAATAGCTTCTGTGTTGTCTTCGCAGGGAGCTGCCCCCGCAACCTCTTCAATTTTCCTCCGGCAGGTTGCTAGGGGAACCTCCTGGGACTGAATGGGCTGAAGTGGTTTGTAAGGACATCCTTATTAAGGCAGCATTGATTTCCGTACGAGCTTCCACTGAACATAGTGGCTCAAACCTGAAAGGGGACATGAGAAAATAGACTCATCCCCGCCGGTGCCATGAGACAGAGCTCCTCTCCAGTAGCCTGATCCCGCCGGTCTCTCCAGATGACTGCGGCGTACCCCCGGGATACGCTCAGTCCCACTGAGAGCTCGCGTCTACACACGACACTTCCTGTGCAGTAGCTCGTTGCTACAGCGCAGTAGCGTTGCATGGCACAAACCGTGACGTGATGCTACTGTGCAGTAATAACGAGCTACCGTGCAGTCGGCGCGGGGACGCTACCTTGCAGCACTGCCGGTTACTGCACAGTTACTGCGTACGTGGGTGTGCGACTATTAAATGCGCAGTAAATGCAGGCACAGCCAGAGAGTCTGATCTCGGTGACAGCAGGGTAACGCCATTGAAGATGCTGAGACCGCAACAAATCCGCCTCCTTTATCCTGCCTCTGTGATGTACTCCCCTGGCCCCGTCACCGCAGCATCTGAGCAGACCGAATCCTTTACAGCCTCGCCGCGTCCGCGGAGGCAGGCTCATGCTGGGATCCCATTTTGCAGACAGCAGGAGGCCGAGGGGCTGACCCGAGAGGATGTGACCTGCGGGTCTCTCCGGCACCGTGGCCACAGACAGCGGTCTGTCCCTTTACCCCGGGCAGGGATTGTGAGGAATGAATAACGTAAGAGGGTGGAGAAGAGAGTCAGCCCTAGAAACGAATCGGTGACGTGAGAGCTTGTCTAAACTTTCAGCTCTGCAGGCCAGGGGCCGTGCCGTCCTTCACGTCCTGGGCCTAGCGCACAGAGCCGCGGGCTATACCGCACTATGATGCAAATGGGAGACGGCGGGATGGGCGATTTAGAAACACAAGCTGCAAGTGTCAGAGCTGGACATGGGATCCAGGGGCAGGGCTGGGGATGGGTGGGACACGGTGAGCCCTGTTAGGACAGGCAGCAGCCTTGAGGAAGCAGGGAGGTGCCTTGCTAGCGCAGCAGGGTGCCCGAGCCCTGGCGCAGCGACGGCCTCTCATCTGTCTGGAGCCAATGCCGCAGAGTCCCAAGGAGAGCCCAGGGTGATTGAAGAGCCTGCCAGGGCTGAGCTTTCCTGGTGGAAAGTGAAAGGGCAAGAAGGGGACAGTGCCTGGATCGCTCCTCGTTCTCATGGTGCCGTGGCCAAGGCCCCCCGTCCCTCCTGGGGACTAACAATGCACGCAAGCTCCCTTGCTCGCTGCAGCGGGGGGCTGTTCCTTCCTCCCAAGCATGTGCATCCTGTGGCTGGGTGCCCCCGGAGCCACTTGTTAAATGTTTGGACGGAGTTTGGACGGGGGTGAGATAGGAAGATTCCTCCTGAGGTCACATCCCCCGGGAGAGCTCCGAGGCCTGACCGACAGCCTGCCTTGGCTTTTCCTTAGGCGAGGCCAGGACCCTCCAAGAGAAGCAGAGGAAACAGAATTGGAGGTTGAGCTTCAGGGTGGTGAATGCTGAGGGCAGGACGGGCATTGACCCCAGGCCAGGCGCAGGAGGCTGAGGAAGAAGGCTGAAGGGCTTGTGATAGGGGAGGAGGGCTGAAAGAGACTCCCAGAAGGAGCTGGCTGGTCCACCCTTGCAGCCCCCAGCAGCTGGCCTGCTCCCCCCATGACCCAGCAGGATGCTTTTGAGAGGAGCACCGCGCACGCACCTAGCAGAGCAATGCCTACCCTTCCCGACACAACAGGAGGAGAGAAGAGAGCAGGAAAGCATGGAGACACGTGGGCCGAGTGAAGTGAACCACAGACACAGCCCACCAGCCCTGACCCCACGGCAGGACCTCGTGCACCCCGCCGTCCTCGGTCCCCAACTCCAATGCCCTGCCTGCCTCTCTGCCTCCCAGCTCAGTATGCGTGCAGCTGTGTGGACAGTGCATTTGTCTAGCCTAGCATTTCTGCACGGGGCCGTGGCTTGTGGGGGCCTGGAGGAGCCACGAGTTAGAAGCTGTGCAGGAGGGCAGCCCCATTGCATGGGTCGGGTGCTGCTTGCTATACTTGGATGCTTCCAGGAGCGGTGGAGGCCAACATGGTGAAGCCAAGGGAAATACTAAGGTCACCGTGGAAGGGAAAACACTTTGCTTTTACAATCCTCATGGGAGCAAAACATGGCTAAAGGGGAAAGCGAGCAGTGGCTAGGGGAATCGGTGCGTGATTCCCACCACAAAGCCACCCCGTGTCTGCTCTCAGGAGTAACTGGTGCAAATCAGGCATTGGCAGAGAGAGGATGCAAAGCAGAGCATCTGCAGAGGTCACCGCTGGGCTGATGAAGGAGATTGCTGGCATGGGGTGAAGAATGCATGGGCAGACTAGAGGAGCCGGGCATGGGAAGCTGCCCAGCACGTGCCTGGGGTTAGGCTTTGCACATTTTCACGTTTGCTGGCAAGCCGTCGGGATCTCCGAGGAGGGCTCGGCTCTGCCGCGGGCCCACGAGGTGCTGCGTTCTTCCTGCACCGTCCTTTCCTCCCCCAGAGGACTTCATTTACCCTGGCCCCCAGGCATCACACACCCCGTCTCGCTGGAAGCCGGTGCTGTGCAAGCACAGTTGTTTATTGGGACATGCCTCAAATTGCACACCCTCCGCCTTTTCTGCAGCTTTCGGGAACGTGCCCTTTGAGACGCTCCCCTGCCCGGCCAGCCCTGAGATCCACCCCGTCCCCACTCCCACTGTCCCCCCGGGGAGCTGCTATTCCTGTAACTCCAAAAGCTGCAGCCCTCAGATAAGGACGGCAGTGCCCTGGCGCGGACCACAGGCCAAGTGGATTTGGCTCGTAATAAAGAAACTACTTTTAAATGCTTCCTGTCCCGCAGACGCGGTGGCCGTGCGGAGGGAGAGCGGAGGTTGTGGAACCTGCTGCTGGGAATGGAGATAACGGGCTCCTTCTCGTTCCCACCCTCGTCCCCATCACTCGGGTGTGGCAGGGCGTCCAGCACCGAGGAAAAGCGCGTCGGTGCTTGCTGGCGCTCATTCTCCCCCGAGCCTAGCAGAGAGAATGAGTGTTATGCCCAGGGCAAAGCAGCAAATACAGCCACAGTCTGGCTTTGTAGGAGCTGGCAGTCAATGCTGAAGCAGGAGGCAGGTGGCTGAAACGTTCCCCCTCTGGTGCTTGGATCAACCCTGCTCTGCATTACCAGGACATAGTTGGCTTTGGCCTTTGGAGGGGCTAAACCAGAGGTAACACTTTACAGTTGAGGAACCAGAGGAGAAACCTGGTTTTATTTCATGCCTTGCTATGCATAACCACAGCCAGCGCTTACGTGGCTGTGCCTCAGTGTCCCTTCTGCCACACGCCTTACATCGGAGGGGTGTTGTGAGGCTCCGTGCAGCCCTCAAGTGCCCGAGAGAGACAGCATAACTTGTTAGGGTTAGCTGTCCAGCAGCCCTGGTGCATGGGGCCAGGAAACTGTTTGGAAGGAGGGAGCTGCCATCCATGCATGTGCTTTCTGTCCCTGCAGGGCGGGGTGGCACAAACCAAGCAGAGCGAGGAGCTGTACGACATAATCTGCAAAGCACTGAAGCCCACGTTCAACCGGAGCCGAGACCAGTGCACCGTGAGCCTGGCCCCCGTCCAGGGCTCCCCTAACCTCTATGCTTTGGTGGATGCTTCTGTGCTGAGTAAGTGCCATGCACCTCCTAATGCTGATGGCAGGGTCCCTGACAGCAAAAGACCCTTTACCTGTTCAGATCTGGAAGAAGGGCAGCATGGGAGCAGCCAAGTGGAAGTGCTGGAGGCGTTCAGACAGGACCCCATGAAACACCTCCGATTCAGGTGGTGTTTACAGTACAGCCCATTAAGGTCTTGTTTCTGGGCCCGCATGGGTTTCTGCTGCCCTCCTTCAGCTCCTAATGGAAGCCCCTTAGGGCCAGGGTGCAATAACCACTAGGCCCATTGCTGTTTCCAAACCCAGGTGCTATTGGAGCCAGATTGAACCCTTTTCCCTAGGGGCTACAAAACTCAGGATGCTCCAGCTTCAAAGCAGTTCCTTTTTTTTTTAACCACTCTTCTCCATCTATCCTTCCTGCCCCACAACACACATATTTCAAGGGGACAGAGGGCTCACATTTCAAGGGTTCAAATCCAGCTCAACCCAGGGGCAGCCAAGTACTGCCCTAGTCCAGGGCTGTTTCACGTGGCAACACAGTGAATCAAGGGAAGGGGGTGGATTTCAGTCCAAACGAATGTTTGCATCATTCAGCTGCCCCCAAAAGGCCTGGCCAGTTTGGGACAGATCACAAACGAGGAGGGATGGTTTGCACAACCCCCCCCCGCTTCATCTGGATGTAGAAGCGGAGCAGTCACTTGTGTCACCAGGGGAGACATTTCCCCTTGGAGCAGTTTATATCATAACTATCCAATAGTGGGTTTCTAAAAGCATCTGGCCCTGGAGGATGGACCTGCTCTCACCGTCTAGGAGGGGAGCACCTGCTTCCTTGTTCAAGCCATGCTTAGCTTTGCAGAGGGAGGGAACTAGGTTGGGCTGAGCATGCTGCTGGTCCCAGAGCTAGTCTGCAGGTGTGCGTGCGGGGGAGCAGAGGCAGACAGACAGGTGTGACAGATTTTCTGGCATCTGCGGCCTGGGTTGCTCAGTGCAAGCCGGAGCCCCAGTATGCACACAGCCAGCAGCAGAGCATGCTTGTCTCCACCATCTCCCCCACCGTCTCCCCCACATTATGCCCCAGACCAGGCATGCAGAGTGAGCAAGCCTGGCTCTATCCCTTGTTTAATGTTGGGCTTTGCTGCAGAGATGAAAGGGGCCATTGGACACTGGGCTGCATGCACAGCCTTCACCCCCACCAACCTCTCAGCATGCGGTTGCATCCCCAAATGTCTGCACAGCACCAGCATTGGGGTCCAGGGAGGATGGAGCTGTATGTGGCCCACGTTCGCTTTCAGCTGAGATCAAGGATATGAGTGTGAGCCTTGGGGCCAAGTTAGCCTCCCTAGCAAACCTCCAGGTCCAGAGCACATTGGCAGGCAGGCACTTGGTCCTGTCCTCCCTGGAAACACAATAGACAACCCCTGTAACTCCTGCCATCCCCTTTACAGAGCCTAACGTGAGCGAAAGCTGACAGCACCCAGCAGGAGAGAGGGGCTCCTGTCTGTCCCTGGCTCCCAGGCTTCATTCACTCTACTTCTTCATGCAAACCACTATTTCTGCAGGCCTCGCTTTCCTCCTTTGGATGAGGGAGACACTTTATAGCGCAGCACTTGGGCTGGGACCGCTCCAGGCTCCCCAGTGGGAAGGCAGCAGAGAGCGCTCCCTGCCCTGTGGGTGGGTGCACGTGGCTCAGCTGCTTTTCATCTCTTCCCTTAGTAAAACCGAGACAGGAGGAGCTTTTTGAACTGCTGAAGGAGAAGAAGGATGAATTTAAGAAGGTAAGAGCAAAGAGACCTCTCTTAGCTTTCAAATTAGCACCATGTCTTGGCCCTCGAGAAATGCTTTGGACGAAGGCTGCTGTAGAGGCTCTTGGGCTTTACTTCTATGGTGAGCATGGTGGGACTTGCTTCACTTGAGCGAGGGACCATGCTAGAGCTGCAGAGGGATCGCTTTAGCAGCTGGCGAGTCATAACAGCACCCCAGGACCAACCAGAGGGAAAGCTCAAACTAATAGTGAAGGGAGGGCAAGCTCACCCGCTGCTCATTCATTGTCTGGAGCTCTTGGGCATGGCAGAGGGGCTTGTCTCAGAGTTTGGAAAGCTTTGGAAACCACCTGACACTGGAAACAATCCCACTGCTCCCCTTAGTCCTCTGAAATCAGGGCCTCCACATTTAGGCTTTACATTGCGACTCTGCAGAGCCTGTGCCCTGGGTCCCTGGGTCAGTGGTGGGAGCAGATAACCTGGCCGTTGGGCAGCAGCGGCGCTGGGGAAGGAGGACCTGAATGTCCGCCCCTCCCCTTTGCACAAGTCCAGCTCTCTGTGAATGGAGGGATGTGGGTAGTACCAAACCCCAGCTGTTTCCAGCAGGGTGGACAAGCATCCAGCAGTAATGCCAAGCCCAGGGGAGTAGGCAGAAATTGGCATCTTGCAGGATGCCAGAAGTGACCGCAAGGAAGCATACGAGGGCAGACTGAATTCATGCCCACGCGTCCACCATCCCATAGGAGCAGGCGTAGGGCAATGTTGGGATCTGTCCTCCCATTGTACAGGCCGGGATCAACAACGTCACATTGGCCGACAAGCAGCTCGGGGACGACGAGCCAACTGACCGGGTCAGCACGCCTCTGATCACCACACCAACGCAGGTCCCGCAGGAAGGACCAGGTAAGCTGCCCTGGGCATCCAGGTAGGGCAGAAAGGAGGGATACCCCAAATAGGGGCTGTGTTATTGCTGCAAGCAGACGGGCAACTGCCAGGACCAGCCACTTTCCCTTCTCCTGCGTTGCTGCGAGAGGCCTTTGCAAAATGGGCTAGCACCATCTCATATGTGCCCCCCTGAGAGCTCTCAGTAGGATGACTGATGGCAGGGAGAACGGCTGCCGGGCAGCACTGGGACAGCCTCTGCCCATCGAGCATAGCCTGGGGCCGCAGCAACAGTAGGAGAAAGGACATGGCGGTTCAGAGCAGGGAGAGCTGCTCATTCGGCCCGAGCGGGTTGTGATGATCAATACGGGATGCGGCCTGAGGCAGGTCGAAACGGTGCTATCCAAAGAGAATTCAGAGGGAAACCGCAACTGCCCCGATTGTCACAAAACCTTTTGGTTTGCATCAAACCTGCCCAACCTGACCTTTTAATGCTGAGTTCATGATGAAAAGGGTCATTACTACAACTCTACTTTGGGGGGGCGGGGTTTCTAATCCAAAATAGTTTTAGGAAGAAACAAAACTTCAGTTTTGCTTTCCTATTTTAAAAAAAAGAAAATAGAGGAAGCTTGGAGGGTGAGGAAGGGCAGTTTCCCCTCATTTCTGGTAAGCTGCAATTTGCCCATTCTCCAGCTACGGAGCAGTGTTTCTGGCTGACGTCTCGGGATGAGAAATGCAGAGCGCCCAGGGCTAACGTTTTATCCTTCCCTCTAACGTGGGATAGCGCATGCGGTGGACCCTAGATGGGCTGCCAGGTCCTACAGCTGCTAAGGTTTTTAGGAGGGTGGTAGGTTTTTCCTCTGGGTCCTGCAGAGCTAACGCTGCGACCCCGACCGCCCCAACGACAGGCAGCGTGGCTTCCCTGCCCAGATCCTTATGGCGCGGCTGTGCTCGCTGAGTGCATCGCTGGGAGCAGCATTTTGTAACCCATTGACCTGAGCTGCAGCCTAACATCTGTGCCAGGGTACAGCCCTGGCAGCCCCACGGGCTCTGCTGCACCATCACTGCAGGCCGCGGGCAGTGCACGCAGCAGCTCGTGTGTGGCAGAAAAAGCTGAAATGCCGTGCAGAGAGTATGATGTGCACAGGAGGGCGCCAGCTCCCCGTTCCCCAGAGCACGGCAGCTACTGCAGCAGTACTTTGGTCTTTTAAGTTTTGCACTGCACGGGAAATGCCTTTGCAGAGAGGCAGGTCTCGGATGAAGGCAATGTTTGCTGCAAAGCATATGGGCCAATGTGCTGCGAGTCTTAAGCAAAGACACCAAGTACAGCTCTCTGAGATTTAACCTGTGAAGATGCTTCCTCCAAAGTGTCTTGCACTCACCTCTGAGAGGGATGGGACCAGAGATCAAACAGAGCCCTGACTGTGACAGTCCCCTACTCCTGACCCATCCCCAGCAGTAGCAAAAGCCCAGTGACTTGCACTGGCTCCAGCTGCTATTGCCAAGAGTTAAACTCCCCAAGAGAACAAATTTGATTGCTAAACTATCATTGGGACAAGCACTTGAGAATCTAGCCCAAATAACTACAGTCCTCCTTTAAGCTGACTTAAAAATCCTACCAAAGGTGATTGCTCGGTTTCAGAAGCCTGGAAATGTGCGTCTATGTATGCATGAATCCCAAGAGATGCCCGATTCCCAGTCCTAGAGACTGCACTGCAGTCCTGCTGTCGAGCAGAAACAGGACAAACTTCCTGCATTCAGGCCTATTCCAGCGTGCTCCATATTCATGAGCTGAGACACACAGACTTCTACTCCAACACTGCAAACAGGGGATGTTGCTGGTGTTGCAAAAGCAGCTGGACCCCCAGGGTCCTCATAGTGCTTAGTGCTGTACAGATACAAAGCAAAAATGCAGAAATTACAGTCCGAGTACTAGACCAGAGCTGAGAGGTGGGTACAGACACTCAGGGGAGCGTGAAGAAGCCATGAGCTGGTATTGGCCTCACCATCAAGTGTAAGATATGGGAACAGCTTTTGTAGGGGCTGTGGATCCTTATGGGATTCACGTGAGAAAGCAGAGGTGCTTGTTTGAAAATCTAACCAGGGCTTGGTAGAAGCCGGCATCAAAGCCAACAGGAGCGTGGGGGACAGGCTAGAGGGACACGGCCCATCCGAGACCTTCGGTTATATCCTAGGACTAGAATTCAAGGTAGCCACAGATCTCACTGCGTTCAGCTTGTGTCGTCTTACAGTCCCAAGCTTCCTGTCCTTACACACGGCCAAACTCCAACCCCGTCTTCTTACAGCAAGAGACCCACACAAAAACGGGAGCAACCAGACAGCAGCCATCGTGGCCCCGATTGCACGCACTGCATCACTTCACCTGTCATTTCAACCCATTTTGAAACAGATACATCATCCGGAAAGTGTATGCATCCCTCTGACTGCAGTGCACACCTGTCCAGGAGCAACACGCATTCACTTCCTAGAGGCCACCAGACAGCCTCTCTAGTAGTACCAGGTGCCACTAATTAGTCACCTGGGCTGCATTTGCACTGCAGCTTTCAGGAGAAACACTCACAGCCCCAACCCCAAGGTCCTCAAATTGAGAGGGGGTCACTTAGGCATCTAAACGCCTTTGAGGCTGTGGGCATTTACACTTTGAGTAGAGAAGGTTGCTTTGGGTTGGTTTTTTTTCCTGCATTTATGTCAACCCTTTGGTTTTTTCTTTTTCTTCTTGCTTCTTTTAAATAGAGAAGAATGACTTGAAAGTTTTGTGTTTTTTTGTTTTTTCTTTTCTTTTTTAATCCTGCTGGTTTTTTACCTTGGAAATAACCAGACCATCTCCTCTGCTGTCCCGGGGTTTGAAGGCCGACACGTAGCTGTGCTCTTTACTGTGAGTTTTTATACCTGCATGCCAAATCTCCAACACACGCAGCCTGTATCCCCAGGGCTCAGTAGGGGCCGATAGCTCCTCGCAGGAACAAAGCCAAGGCTTTGAACAGCCCGACCTGCAAGCCCCTTCCCTTCTGCAGCAAGGATGCTCAACCGTGTGCTGCTCCACTACCCTGCAAACTGCTGGTTTGTTGGTGCTGTTTGGCAATGCAACCCATTGCCCCGTCCGCTAAGTATCTATATGCCAGCATGTCTGTGTCAGAGCAAAACCTCTCCTCCAGCATAGCTCTGGTCACTGGAACAAGTTCCCAGAGGCAGACAAGGGCTGACATAAAAGCTGGGGGGCAGGTGCGTGCGCACACGCACACACACACACCAGGCCTTATTTTTATGTCATCCCAACAACACGGGACACAACCCAGTCCCCTCGCCCATCCTTCCCAGGTCTAGCACAGAGCCACGTTCCCCCGCCTCCCCTCAGATTTGACTTCTGAGCTCATTTATTTGTCCCGAGAGAAATGCTCCGATCGAGGCACCCAAAAGGAAGCGGCAGCATCCTGTCTAGACGCTCAGAGGCTCGCACCGCACGTTGTTTGTCGAACCCCAAAGAACCAGAGCAGACACCAGACTCGAGCAAAGGCTAGTGTGAGGATGAAGCACCGAGGTCATAAGAGGAAGGCTGAATTTGATAGAGAATAAAGGTCCCAATGCAGCTCCCTAGAGGCTACTCCCACGCAGGGTTGAGGTACGCTCAGAGGCTGGTGCGATGTGTCCGAGGCAGCAGACAGAAAACCAAGGGCGAGGGGCCGGGCTCGGCTGACCAGATTATAACGAGCGAGGAAGGCAGCGCACACCTACAGCTACCTGAATAGAAGTGCTGCCGATGCCGCTGAGAAGTTGGTTTTAAATTTGGGGGGGAGCAGGAATCAAAACCGGGTGAACCCTTGTCCCTGGAGCTGCATCTCCCTCCTTGCACCTGCTGGAGGGAAGGGAAGGGAAAAGGAGCAGCCATCACACAGCATCTCCATGCTTCTGGTCCGGGCAGAAAATCAGCTTCCCTGCTTTAACAAAAAACAAAACACACAGAGATTCCAATTGTAAAAAGCTAATTTTGGAGGGGAAAGTGCACGTGGCATGCTAGTAAATAGGGTACATCACAGTAGCAGCCAGAGGTCCCAGCTGTCTTCAGGACCCCTCTGCAGTAGGTGTTGTGCAGACACGCGATAAAAGTCAAGCCCCCTACCCCGATTGTTTTATAACCCGACATCTCATCTTCGTGAGAAAGCTCTGACCAGCGCTACCAATGTAGTCTCAGCAGTACAGCAATACGGAGACTCGTTCGGGTACAGGAATGGCTTGTTTGGCTTTGCTAATGGTATCCCAGCCAACCTCAGTCACTTATTGAAATAATAAAAGTTCACGCAGGTGAGGAGCTATATCAGGATAACTCTGTCAACTTGCAGTCACCCCGGGAGTTAGCAAGCCAGCTTTTGCTGCCTGCTTATTTGCTTATAAGCTTTTTTTTTTATTATTATTTTATTTTGCAAGCGAGCTTTCTCATAGAAACAAGGCAGACAAAGAGGAGGGGGAAGGAACAGCGACAGTAGCCCAATCTCACAGCAGGCCAGCGCTGAAAATAGCTGGCAGGTCAGTGCAGCGTTCAGTCTGCTCTGCCTTGCTTTCTCCTTCGCTGCGATTGCCAGCAGCTGGGGAAGGAAGGACTTCCAGCCCTCCCGTTCAGACAGACAGAAATCCCATTGTCTGGGCACTGCAGAACGAGCCAAGCTGCTGCGTGCTCAGAAGGGGCACAGGCGTGGAAGGAGGGGTATGTGACACGGGGCCGAGTCTCTGGCCACGAAGGAAGTGCAGTGCTGGGTGTGCCATCCACAGGAAAAAGAAAGCCCCCCCCCACCCAGATGCCAGCTCATAGTTTTCACCCCTATTTTGACTACAGAAAACTAATAATGTGATTTTTCTGTTGTAAAGGACTCCGAAAAACCACAGCAAGGCAGAATGTTTTTAATGCTAGAGATTCCTATGTGAAATCTCTGGGTTTATCGCAGAATCATGGTTGCACACCTAACGGTGCAAACATTGTGTGGCACCCTTGAAAAGATCTCCAGGCACCCCAGGGTGCTGCTGTGACACCCTGGTTGAGAGTCAGTGGTGTAATCAAATTGGCCGGCACAAAAGCACCCACAAAACCCAGTTAAAACAGAGAGCTGGGGTTGCGGACCAGGAATGTAGCTGGAGCAGATGTTGGGTGGCCTTCTGCCGGGATTGCTCTCAACGCCAGGTTCCTCCTCATCGCTGGCTTGGGAGAGTGGAGAGCACAGCCCGTTCATAAAGTGGACTGATGACACCAAAGTGGAATTAATGGCAAACACCAACAAGCTCTGGAGAGACTAGAAACGTGGCCAGGCAAATAATCGACTGGCAAATTTATCTAGGGCGATGGACCCCAACACACATGCACAGGAAGGAGAAACCTGGGGAAGGCAACAGTGCCAAAAGAGACAGCAGGGCATGAGCAGGCACCCAACTAGAAGTTGCTTTGTATGGGGGTATGCGACTTCAGGCAACGCTTTCCAGGCTTCCTGTCGCAAAGCAGAGAATGAATTCACCCTGCCACTCTGACGAGGCTGCCTCTAAAACACCAGGTGTTGTTCTAGGCATCAGCTTATTGAAACACTAAATAGAGCAGGCTGTGGAAGGGTGAAGACCCCCCATCCTTGGGACTAGAACCGACAAAACGGCCAGATTCAGACACGCAGGCATGTGCAGTTTGTGACACCGCAAACCTCTTTGCAGTGCCACAACACACACGCGTTGCACGTTCAACCATGCATGGCGCTGCTAATTTGCTACCAGGATTCCCTGGTAGCAAAAAAATAACATCCTGAATAAAAAAGCAGCCCTGGGCTGCCTGTTCCCCCATCACCGTTTGCCGCTCCCCAGCTAGCTGGACCACAGCGTGCCTCAGTGCAGGGGCTGCCTGCCAACTAGCCCCGTATTGAGGCATCCTATGCTGCAGCACAGCAGGACAGCGTATCCTGCTGCCAAGCAAATGGGCAGGGGCATCACTATGGCACAAAGTAGCAGCTCAGATTTGTGCTGCTGCAAATGCACACCCCTGCTCATGCGGACACGGCCAAGTAGTGTGCACAACCCAGAAGACATGGACTGGATGGCCCATTTGTTTTTCCCCATTTCTAAAGTTTCACCAGAGACCACTGGGGCTCCAAGGTCTCATTTCTACAGAGGTGGTTTTTGACTTGCAGCGCACTTTAAACCAGCAGCGCCCCACGCATAGGAGGTCCGGGGAAAGCAGCATTTTCACTGACCTGGAAATGCCTAGAAAAGAGCAGTGTTAAGGGAGTAAGAAACGTCTTAACAAGGGAAGGAAGGGTCGAAAATGGAGGGCAGGTGTGGACGAGACCACGGCTGGTTCGGAGTGACAACGGGGTGTCAAATGTGGGGGGACCCTCACTGAAGGAGTGAGGAGCTGGAAGGGTTGGCAAGACAAGTTGAATGCTGTACTGCCAGAGGCTGGGACAGCAAGGGTAGAAGAAAGGTACCAGAGGCATTTCATTTCTAATTCACGCCCTTTTTGAAAGTCATTGCCTTTCAGTGGCATCAAATCTGTGCAGTCATAAACAAAAAAAGAAATCACAGAGCAATGGGGCTGGAAGGGATCTCAGGTGGTCGTCTAGCCCAACCCCCTGCCTGAACCATCCTAGACAAGTATTTGTCTCGCCTGCTCTTAAAAACCCTGAAAACAGCTCCTACACCCTGCGACCAGGCATCATGTCCAGAACATCAACCTTACGCTGGCCACAGGTAAAGCAGGGGAATGAGGGCAGGGTCCGTGTCCTGCCACTGAAAGGACAAGTAGGTGTTTATTAAAATACACGTGAATTTTACCTGCCGGGTAAAATTCCCTTCCTGATCCCAAAGGCGTCAGTGTGACGCTGAACGGAGGAGCAAGACCCTCTAGGTTTGTTTTAAGTCCCCCAACTCCCAGAGCAACAGGAGGGGGAAAAGTCCCTTCCCAGCCCCATGGGGGGACCGGCAGAGCCCAGAAGCACGGACTAACCAGACACCCTCCGCTCCGCGCTGCAACCGGGGGACCGCAGACAGCTCCACGCATCTCACACGCATCGCTCCATGCATCGGGAGAACAGAGCTCCTTTTTCCATCGCCGGTGGAGGAGAAGCAGATGCTTTGCCAGATCCTCCATCCAGCCTGGCCCACACACTGCAGTCATGACCCGCAGCACCACAGCCCCAGCTCCCCGCCCTGCCCCTCTCACTGGGTCCTTGCCCCTCTCCTCCACGCTCCTAGCTGTGATCCTCACGATGGAAGTCATGCAGGCCATGTTTGACTGTGAGATGACTTGGCAGCGCGGACAGATGATCCAAGGATAAGACTAACAGCTAGGACATGCCATGCACTTATCCCCAGAGCTACCACCCAGCTCTGGTTTTCTTCACAGCTTTCTGGTTTCTTTCCTATCCCCTCACAGCAGCGCCTGACAGAAGAGCTGCAGACCATGGAGAACGGCTATCATGACAACCCGACGCTGGAGGTGATGGAGACTTCCTCTGAGATGCAGGAGAAGAAGATCAACCTGAACGGTGAGCTGGGCGACAGCTGGATTGTCCCCATGGACAACCTCACGAAAGAGGAGCTGGAGGAGGAAGAGGACACGCATCTATAAATGAAGCCGGAGACCGCTAAGCAAAAACAAGGAAAACCCGAAACAAAAAAACCAAACTGACTACAGCCACAAGTGCCGTCACCCTATCGGACAAGGAGGGACACGTGCCTGCCAGCTTTGCCGAGGAAAGAAGCCACGCTTGGAGTTTGCTGTGGCCTAAACATCGCTAAATCCAAACATATTCACTGTCCAGACTATAGAGTGTATTTTGTTTATATATAAATAAATATATATATTCCTCTATTTGCCTTGACTAGAGGAGACGAGATGGTTTCAGAGATGAAAGGCTTTCCCAACCATTGATGATGGTATCGAACTCAGCGTGGTTTGCAGAACTTGGAATCTGCTTTCTCCAGATCGGGGCTTCTTCTGTCCGGCTGGGACCTGGCATGTGGCGTGTAACCACTGCCCGAGTTGAAGAACCCTTCACGGGCACCCAAAAGCCTGCGGCAACGACCGGGAACTAAAATAGCATTGAACGAAGAGGCTCTGAACGGGAGCGGTAGCAGCGGCACTATCGATGGCAGTGCTGGGCAGCGTGGTGGCATACTCCAAGAGCTCCACCCTCCCCTGTGCATCTCTGTTGCCAATGCAGCTTATGGTTTATTTTTCCTTTTCCTCTATCACGTGGTAATATTAAAGACAGTTATTAAGCTTCACAGGAGATAAAGAGAAAAAGAGTAACGCCCTGCCATCACACCCAGCCACGTGATTAACTGGCCATTTCCAGATTCTTGCTGGAAGTGCTGGGTATTAAACACAACAGCATCCCCCCATCAACAGTCGCTCCTGGGTCTTCGGTGCTCGTATCCTACGGGGGCTTTCCCAGCCTGTATTGTGAACAGCATTGACCAGGTCCCAGGCCAAAACTGCCCCTAGTTTGCTTTTACCAGCCTAGGAAGCCATTTCGGTTCCTCAAGTCCAATGGTTTTCAAACACATATCTTAACTGTACTCGCCGCATTGAAGGGTCTGGGGGTCTCTTCCGACCTGGTGCATGAGGCTGTGATGCTTCAATGCACCTGACTTCCAAAAGATACCATCCAAAGCCAGCAAAGGAGATGCCAGCACTGTCCCTGCAATTCAAGGGAACCAGCCCATCTTTCCCAGCTAGCATGCCAGGAGCTAAAGGACAAGTTCAGAGGAAGCCCCTGGAAGCTCCGTACCGTTGTCTGCATTTGAAGCAGCACTAAAATCCCCTTGTTCCAGGATTCTTGCACCCAAAGGCTCAAAACAGACCCTCAAAATTTCTCACCTATTCAAAAAAGGAATCGACCAGCAATCCAAGAGGGAATTGGTCTCTTAATCATCCAGTAGGCAGCAGGACTCAGGGAACGCAGATCCAGTAGACCGCAAGAAAGCAAAGCAATTTCAAGGCCACTGTGCAACCAATTCTAGTACTGGGGGGAAAAACCCAGAAAGTTATTGCCATTCCCTCCAAACAACAGTGTGCTCCTCACAGCTCTGAAGACCCCTACCCAAGAAGGGTCTACCTTCTCCATGTCCTAGCCCCTACCATCACACCTGGCCTTGTTAGGGGAGCATTAGCAAGGCCAGCAACTCCAGGCACTATTCTAGGCACAGCAAACCTGCAACAGGCATTTCAGCAAGAGCTAGAACGTGCATCTGTCCCATGTTATGTTATTTAGTTATCACCTCTTCGCTGCACTTCACTATGTTTTTCCTTCAAGGACATTTCTGTTCAACTCCTGGGTATCAAGCAATAGGGAAAAGGCCTTTGAGGTTGTTCAACACCAAAACGGACTGCCGAGGTGCATGGGGCAGTGCTTCCAGGGCCCACCGCAGTGGGGAGCCTACCATCGGCAACCAAAATCGGGGCTGGACCGAGTGCCGTGAGCTTCCTGCTCCTACCTCCAGCAGCCACTGAATGATCTGTTATAAAGTGGAAACCACAAACAGTGAAGAAAACCCAGCAACTGGGATAAGCCACAGCCAGCTTCCTCCTGGGGGAGCACGCCCGTGTCGTACCTGGGTCTGGGCAGCGCTGGCCTGTTTCAAGCTGTTCGTACATCCTGTTGAAATCAGCAGGCCCGTCTTTCCAGGACAGTTGCACGTGTGGGATTGCTCTTTTCCGAACAGAGTCTACTTTATTTCTAGAGATTCATATGCCTTGCTCCTCACCCTGGTCCCAGACCAGCTTCCAGCACAGCAAGCCCAGCATCCATCACATTCATCTCATCCTCTGCCCGGGTGTTGGAAGAAGGGATTTATTAGGGACATTTTGGTTCGGTTTCTTTATGATCAGCAGAAGCTGCACAAGATTAAATGCAAATGCAAAGGAGAGCCCTGCAGATTGTTCACAGTCAGACCGTCCTGTTGCTTCAGCGATCTCGCGCACGAACACCAGCCCCTCTTGGGTGTTTCCTCTCCCGAAGCCTACTGCTCTCCAAGGAGGCCGTTGAGATGCATCTCAAGAGACTTCTGCATCCCCAGCAAATCTTCACCATCCCTTCTCCTCTCCAAAAGGTTTCCTGGTCCGAGCATGGTCCAAAGGTTTAGCCCAAAAGGAGCCTGGGCTACAGGCACATCACAGATTCCACCTAGCCTACATTGGAAAGATTGTCACAGTATCACATAGGGCATCTTTCACCTTCTGAGTTTGTTGGAGACCTGGGCTGGATGGGCAGCTGGGAGCTGGGTTGGGCAGGTAGTCCGGAGCATGAAAGCAGCACAGTGAAGACAACCAGACACGCATGCAGTCTGGGGAGCCAACAGCTCCCAGCAGATGATGGTCGTTTGGACTCACTAGCCCAGACCTCTGGATCCAGCCAAGCTGTTACAGATGAGGGCAGCCACAGCTGGCTCCTGGCTGCCAGCACAAGCCTTATTCAGCTTTGCACCGTTTGCATGAGCTGCATGCACAGCAGCAGCTTGCTCAGGTCTCGGCACACAGAGTACCAGGGTAGAGCTGAAAGAGCAGCTGCCTTTTTATCTGGTCCACATTGTTTGGGACTGGCACAGATTATGGTGGACCGATAACTGCCCTGGGGGGAGTTTGCCCAAGGGAAGAGGCAGTTAAAATGCATCGTCTCCGGTAGCCACTTCCCTGGCAAAGGAGCTCCAGAGGCATTGCTGAGGGTGGTCCACACAGCACGGTCGGGGCCGTACCGCAGAAGAGCCAGGCACCACGGCCAGCCCCTTCCCACCCATGCTGGCAGGTCCCTTCCTACCACGACAGGTCAAGGGGGCAATAATCTAAACATGATTATTGCATTTGCAGGGGTTTGCTTTGGCTTCAGGCTCTGTGCATGGGGAGCGGTGTAGCAAGTGCTTTTCCAGCACAAGCCCCACATCCCCTGGCTTTGCTTACTTCCAGGCTCTGCTTACTTCCAGGCTCTGCTTTTGTGGTGTTGGTTTTTTTAAGGGCACTGCCAGTTTTTTTTGTAAAAAGTCCCTTCTGGCAGAGATGGCTCTGCTCACAACGGTGTTCGGCTGCATTTGCCTTCGCTTTGCCTGGGAGCCATTAGAAACCTGCTCTCCTGCCACCTTCTCCTGCTTGGGTGCATCTCCCCTTGCAGATCCAGACCCTTGTCTTCATGCAGGTTTTTAGCCTAGCAGCAGGGAGACAAAGCTCCTTTCCAGAAGGCAGGAAGGTGATGGTAATAGCACTGACAAGCAGTTACAGGAGGAGCTCAAAGTAGCTTCTGTCCATTTTATTTTATTTTTTTAAAGACTGAAGGTCTTGGATCCCCTTTACATTAGTCTTCACCATTATGAACACAGCATTGAGCTGGTGTGGGAGAACGGGGACAGGAGGGGGCATGCGGAGGGGGTTCAGGCTGGGACTAAGGTGGTGCTTGGAGCATGGGCCTTCCCTCCTGGCTCTCCCACTGCCTTGCTCCATAGCCGGGGGAGACTCACTTCATCTCCAAAGGGAGAGCTTCGTGAAGCCCCTCAAGCCTATGAAACCCTAAGCAGCCCAGCACTTGGGAGCCTGGGACCTGACAGCTCTTCCCTTCAGGGAACGGGGCTTGGGGAAGAAATGTCTCGCTTTCTTGGCCGCGGACTTTTGCCCAAACAGGACTAAGCACTAAATTGTTCATTCCACAGAAAAAGTCAGAACAGCAGCAAGCGTGAAATAACCAAGAGGTTTTGGATTCCCAGTCTTACTCTCCGAGGCAAAGGCACAGGCTAGAAGTGCGAGGAGAAGCGTGTCTCCTAGCACAGCAGGACCAAAAAAGCTGTCCGCAGAGTCCATCCTCTCTCTTCTCCTATATAGCTTTTTCCCTTCTCTCTCCTCTCCGCGGGGTGGAGTTTGGAGCGATCAAATCCATGTATTGTGTGGCGTCTAAATGTTACTGCTGTCGACAAGTCAATGTATTTAGTCCACTGGGCCTGTTTGTGCACTGCTTTCATGGAAACCCTTTTTTTTGTTTGTTTTTTTGCATGGGGCAGGGGGAGGGAAGGGAGCAAATGAACCAGTCTGATGCTTTGCGAGCAGCCCACGAATGGAGGCTGAGTTCACCTTCATCTGAAAACTGGTTTTTCCTCAGCATGAGGTCTGGTCCACCCGTTTGAGAGAGGCCATTTGAAGCCAAAAACTCATGGCTCTCCCTTGCCAAAGGGATGCTGCGAGTCATTGCACTGGCCCTAGCGCCAGGAGGCTCCTGCCACGGTCGAGGGCGAAGAGTCATTTCTGAGTCCAGCCAACGCTGTCCAAGCGACGGTCTTAAACCCGTGCGGTATTCAAGGCAGCAGCTTCCTTTTCGTGCTCCAATAAGCTGGACCTGCTCCTGTAATGTTATGAAAAGCCTTAAAGAGCTGGTCTCAGCCTTTCCACCGATACTTGCGGTCCCATCCACTCCCAATTCTTCTATGGGACAGTCAAGTCTATTTGCAAGCGTGTGGTTGTCCTCTGACTAAGATTCAGACCCTTTGCCCAGGGCACCTGAAATGAGTTGTGCCCATTGCAGCAACCCGCCCATATCCAGCTTAATGTTTACCTGTGCTAGGATCTCATTAAAATCCATTAAATGCTCTCTTAAGAGCCTTGATGAAATGGGTCCAGACCCCCCACCCTAGCAGGGTTGAAAGAAAACAGCAAAAAACTTTGTCTCATTCAGAGCAGAGATATAAGTGCTTGTAACACGGCATTGTTGAAGAGGGATCATACTTGTATTTATTTTTCCAATCCTATTTTTAAACCACTAAAATAATTTTATAGTAGATTGTTTCCACCCTCTATTTAATAAAGAAGGCTTTTCTCTGAAAGCTGGGGAAAGCCACAGAATAGACAATGCTTATTGCAAAGTCAGCTGGAAATGGAAACTAGAAATCTTTAGCCTTAAACCTTCCCTTATTGTAAAGGAGCCATAAGTGTACACGTGCGACCAAAAAGGAAAATCCTCCCTAAAGCAAGAGCTTTACCATTCAGACCTGCTGCACAGAGATTGCTGCCTTTGCATTTTGGTAGGACTTTTACAAACAGCTAAAACCTTGCAGGAAATGTGTCTGCGTTCAGACTCATAAGGAACATGTACATAATATTAAGCCATTTCTCTTGCATTCATGATGTCCAACTGCCTCACGGTTTATATAGTTACAACTAAAGCTAAGTCATGCGATTTGTACCGTAACCCAGAAGAGTCTGCAGGGAAGCTATTGCTAAAGAGGCTATTCTGTTGACTGGTGCACATATACGCACATTAGCGCTATCTTGCGTACTGTATATTGGCATCTCAGACAGGGACAGGAGTCTGATGTACACTGGAATTTACTGAGAAACTGGATTGTAGAGACTATAATTCTTGCATTTTCCTACAAGATATATTTTGAAGACACTGTGTACTTCTGTCAATAAAATGCTTTTGTGTAAATGAGCGTTTTTGGTTGGGTAATGGGCTGGAGGAGAGGGCAGCTTGCCTTAAGAGGGCCATCGCCATGAATTGCCTTCACACGCAGCCTGAACCACCTCAGCAGTCCTCTCTCTTATCCCTTGGCTGAGGTTTCTTAACCTCAGAGCTCCCCACCTATCCGTCATGCTCGGGTCTGCACCACTGCTCCCGATAACTGCAGCCGTGGCCACTCGTTCGGCCCAGGGCTGAGCTCCTCTCTCCCTCCTGACGACTTAGCCAATTCCCAACACCTGCAACAAGCCCCTTTCTCGGGCACGCTGCTGCTGTCCTACATTTCAAAGGGAGCGCCGATGCCCAATGCAAGGATTCAGGGTCCAGCTGTGGGAGGCACCTTAAAAAAACAAAACCACAGCGTTGTACGTTGTGACCTTTGCACGTCCCCAAGTGGCTTCAGGCCTCAGCCCCTGCAATACTGACCTCTGAAATGGGGCTGGAGTTACTGATGGCAGCATGTGCTCAACCTGAGCATCACAGGGCCAAATCAGGCAACCTTCTTGGAGGTCCAAATGCTCCCAAAGTCTTCCACAGCTAATCTTGGAATGCCATATTTTCTCATACATGACATGCCTTTTTTCAGCTGTTGGAAATTTTAGTGCACACTGTATGTAAGAAATACTGTAAGAACGGTTTTGGCTTGTTGCAAAGCAAAAGCAAAATCTGCATGCGACTGGCAAGGAGCAGAAGAGAATAGAAAATCAGAGTCAGCTTCACTCCCAGCTGCTGCTGCTCAGTTAAGGTAAGGAAAGATGTTTTCCTTCATTCTGCCTTTCAAGAACAAGGTGCGTATTTTATTTTGGAGCATGTTGTATACAGAATACAGCGTCCTCTTCTCCGATCCAGGGGCACGGCAGCACCCTCCTCACCCGAGTGCAGTTTCATAGTCAGGGAAAATGAGGGTTGGGAGGGAACTCAGAAGGTCAACCTTTGCTCAAAGCAGCACTATCCCCAACTACATCACCCCAGCCAAGGCTTTGTCTAGGTGGATCTTAAACACCTTCAAGGATGGAGATCCCACCACCTCTCTGGGTGACCTGCTCCAGTGCTTCACCACCCTCCTCGTGAGAAAATTCTTCCTAATATCTAACCTAAACTTCCCTTGCTGCAACTTGAGTCCATTGCTACTTGTCCTGTCATCTGAAAACAGTCCAGCTGCATCCCCTTTGCAGCCCCCCTGCAGGGAGTTGAAGGCTGCTATTAAATCCCCCTCAGTCTTCTCTTCAGACTAAATAAACCCAGATCCCTCAGCTTCTCACAAGTCATGCCCCCCAGCCCCACAACCATTTTCATTGCCCTCCATTGGACTCTCCAATTTGTCCACATCCTTTCTGCAGCAGGGAGCGGACACTACTCCAGATGTGGCCTCCCCAGTGCTGAATAGAGGCAGACAATCACTTCCCTCGCTCTGCCGGTAACGCTCCTACCAATGCAGCTCAGTATACCGTTAGGCTTCTTGGCAAAAAGGGCACACGTGGCCCTGTTCACTGCTACTCCCCGTGACTGAGCGGAGCAGGCTTCACCTGTCCTCCAAGTCGCTCAAGAAACTAAAAAGTCTCACACCATGACCAGCCCTGGGAGATGGCAGATGGTGGAGCCCAGTTGTCCCCTCATTTACAGTGTAATAGGTTGACTTGCCCCACGCACTTGTGTGGCTCTAGTTATAAGGCTCAGCATGCGACCTGTGTTTCATAAGATCACTGGTACGGGAGCGCCCCAGCTAGTGGCTGGATCAGTTGTGTAGGACGACCTGCTGCATGGTTTGCACTCGCACACGGCACCTGCCTTCAGCCTCGACACTCTGCTCCAGCCACAACTACTCTTGAAATACTAGAAACAAGAGGCAAAAGTGCAAAGATACATGGCCCTCCCAGGGGCTAAGCACTTGTCAGCAAGCCTGAAACCCCCTCCCCATCGGACCCCTCGTGGGGTTACATGGGTAGGACCACGTGTCCATCTTCTACCCTGCAGTGCCCTCTCCACGGCCCAGCACAACACAACACGAACCGGTTGATGCTTTGTCGCAAGGTGAAGCATTCAAATATGGGGTGCCCGGGCCAAGAAGCGGAAGAGTTGGAAGGCATTATCGGAGGGTATACGCGGGTGTGGTGAGGAAGGATGGGGGCTTCGACCAGACCAAACCTATTCACAAGTTGGACTCGAATTGTTTTGGTTGGCGGTGTGGGTATATTTGGAGGTCACAGGGGCAGCTTTGTTTCCAGGAAAAGGGGTGTACCTCCCCGACCTTTATCCAGGCAGCTCAGTGCTTAAGGGGACATGACCAGGATGAGAGAGACTCGAGTATGATTCCCACTTCCAGCCAAGGGCCGTTCCCTCTGCTCAGTGCCCAGCCAGCAGGGTGGTTTGCCAACACCATGACCCCACCACTAACTCCGTCGCACTGACTTTTGATCTCTCAAGTGATGCACGGCTGACAGGTGGGACCAAGGGCCCACCTCAAGACTACTGAGCTTTCTGGCTAAGATGCACTGGATCCTACCTCTGCTCTGAACCAGAGTGGGTTTGAACTCGGCAAAGCCCCCAACCACGATGGCTCCTTCAGTCCCACCCGTCACCTGTTCCCCTCTTTGCACAAAGCACGAAGTCTGACGTGAACCAAGCCTGGTGGCTGGGACACTCAGGACCTTGGCTCTAGTGAATGCCTAATTATCTGTGTAATAAGTAGTACGATGTCGATAGGAGAGAATAAGAGCACCCCTGGCCCCAGGGCACCCTACAATCAAGGGACTAGGGCATGTTCAGAAATACTTAGCTTGAGCAGATAAGGAAACCTGAGGTCTCCTACTTAGCTTAGCAAGTTCCCAGCTGCTGGGGGCTTAGACGGGAGAGGTGATGGCAGCTGCTGTCACCGCCACCATCTCTCAGGCAAGTTCCAGCCCGGCTCTTTGTTTCGGTTGCTTTTCTTCCAACATCCCCCCACCAAGAGCTTTGCTTTGGGTCAAGCAGAATGGTTTGTGGTTAACAAAAAAAAAAATAAACGTGTTGCACCTTTACCAAGATACAGGAGAAACCCATTCACATTAAAAGCCAGCTCGAACCAAGCCAGGAGTTGCTCGCGTCTGGGCAGCTCGTTCCTACGGCTCACTGCTTCCACACAAAGCAGCTCTACGAACGGGCTTGGCAGGATTCGATTTTTAAATTGGGAAACATTGACAAATGTGGATTTCATCTCTCCGACCGGCCAAAAAAATATTTCCGTTGTAAATCGAAATTTATAGAAAGGGGACGTAAGCAAAATGATGGCTGATGGAGTGTGTGACGATAGGGGGAGCGGTCCTACAGAACCGTGCTGACTGCCGGTCAGACTGCAACCCCAGAAACCCCAGGGGACAGGGAACGAAGGCGGATGAAGTGACAAAGCCAACAAGGAAGCTATGAGCAAGCAAAGCGGGGACCGATGGCAGCTCTGCTGCTCACCTGGTGGCAGTCCTCCAGTAGCTACGTTTTTCATTAATAAAACTGCCTGCCCCCATGCGCCTAATTTCACGCAGCCCTGAAAACGTATATTTAAAAAAAATGAAATAAACATCAATATTATCCATTGAAATTCTAAAAAATGAAAATTGAATTCTGCCAAGCCTATGTATAAAGCAACAGCCAGAGCCGTGGCACGGATACAGGTAAATGCCACTAGCAGGAGGCAGAACGCCTTCCCGAGCTCTTCCTGCTGCGTATAAGCAAGTGACAGACTTGCCATTTCTTCCGAGGGAAACTTTAAGTCTAGACTTACCAAGAACCAAAATTCACTGGTTCACTCTTTTACCTTAAGAGATATTTAGGGATTTAAAAAAAAATTTTTTTTTTTTAATCCCGCAATGAAAGCAGAGCTAGAACGAACATGAAGAGATACCACCCCCCGCCTGGCTTACAAGCTTCCTTTTATTAATAAAAAAAATGGATGAGACATTCTCTCCGCAGGTGCATTCATACAGTACAACTATATTTTCACCAGATGCCCATTTGTTTGTCCAGTGATGCTTAGGCATCAACCCACCCAGGAATTGCATGCATTTTTGCCAAGGGCACTGGCCAGGGGATTTGCATTGCAGACGGAGATGGACACTGTACAGTTGTGGTGCTGGGGTGGGAAGGGGCAACGTCCAGACGCTGGACAATCCTTTTCAGTATCTGAGCATTCATCACCGTGCACCGTCCTACAAGTCAAGACTTCTACCTGCTCATTAAAACCTCACCTGTGGTTTCTCTCCAAGACACCCCGGTTCCCACGGCTCCCAGATCCCCTGTGGCAAGAGTTCAAAGGCAATATTTCGTGTCCACCCAAAAGGAACATAAGAGGCTTAAGGGCAGCCCTAGGTCGGTCTCACAGTTGCACCTTGGCAGATCAGACAAGTAGAGGTGGATGTGCTGAGTTCGGGAAGTGGGGAGAGCTTATCTCTTGAAGCATTAAGCAGGGGCTACTTTCTGGAGCTATGCAGAGGACAGGAAAGGAAGGAGGAAAGCAGCAGGGCTTCACTGCTATCGTGCTCTTGCAAATATCCTGGCTAGCAACAGAAATCCCACATGTGGCTGCAGGAAGTGGTTCTCCATGTTTAACGGCAACTTCATCCAAATACTCTCTTCCTGGGCCACATCTCACAAGCAGTAAGTCGACAAACCCTGCTCTGCCCCACGGAGCCAACGTTGCAACCAGGGAGCAAGCAAACATGCCTCCAGCAGCGGCCGCCATGCAGCTGACAGCAGTGCGCTTGCGGCAGAGCGGATAGAAGTGGCAAGAACAGCGTGGTCACAGCTGGATGTCATTTCCAGTTGCCGGCAAAGCGAGTGCAGGCTGAGAGCTGGAAGAAACATGTCCCTATAAACACTGGCTTTTCCCAAGTACGAGACACACGGATGTTTTCTCTTGAGGTTTTAAAGCTCACGTCTGCCCTTAAAAGAGGTGGCTCCAGGAGAAGGCAAAGTTAGCACTCTGCAGGGGTCTGGTGCTC